CTCTTGTGCTGGGGGATCCTGGGAATTGTAATTTATCGTAGCACCAGTGAGAGAGAGATGGTGGCACTGCACTCTTGTCTTAAAGCAGGGGTAGGCAACCTTTCCCCTTTAAGGGCTGAGGGACTTCAGCTCCCAGAAGCCTCAGCCATGTTGGCCAATAGTCCCGTGTTGGCCAATAGCTCCTGGGATTCTGGGAGCTGAAGTCCCTCGGCCCTTAAAGGGGAAAGGTTGCCTACCCCTGTCTTAAAGCATTCAGCGTTGCTATTCCAGTTTTCCATTGTGTTCCCTTATTACCATGTATGGATGTGAGAGCTGGTCAGTCAAGAAAGATGATAGGAAGAAAATCAATTCATTTGAGATTATGTGGTGCTGGAGAAGAGTGCTGAGGATCCCATGGACAGCCCAAAAGACAAACAAATGGATCCTATGGAAGCCAAGAAGACCAAACTGAGGCTGTCATACTTTGGGCACATCGTGAGAAGAGAGGACTCTTTGGAAAAGACAATTGTGAGAAAGGTGGAGGGAAGTAGGAAGAGAGGAAAGCCACATGCCAGATGGATGGACTTTATTAAGCAAATCATGGGTATTAAGGGGTTGCAGGAATTAAGCAGGGCAGTGGAGGACAGATGGGCCCTTATCACACGGGGGTCCCAAGCAGAGGGTATCCAAAGCTAATACGTTTTTATTTTCCGTTTGTTTACACATATCCAAAGGCAATCCAAAGCTGATACGTTTTTATTTTCCGTTTGTTTACACATATCCAAAGGCAATCCAAAACTAATACGTATTTTTTCCCCGTGAACCGAAGTCAAAGGGGATCTTTTGACATTCGGTTTTTTGGGGAAGTAGGCTCCGAAAGTGTCGGAGGGAGGGCGAGGAATCCCCGCCGCTGCCTCCTCCGAGGCCGGAGAAGCCCCTTGGGCGGCTGGAGGCCTGGAAGGGAGGGCGAGGTGCGGGAGGGAAGGGAGGCCGAGGCCGGAAGCATTGCGCAATGGCCGCGCAGGCGAAACAGATTCCTTTCGGAATCTGTCTCCTTCGGTTATTTTTCGCTTGCTTTTCGCTTGCTGGCCAGTGTTTGATAAGGTCCATGGAGATGTCTCATCCATAGGTTAATGTGGTCAAACTGCATTAATTCTGCATTGTGGCAGCATTAACCTTTCAGCTAGACCTGAGGACAAGCAGGAAGTCTGAGCAAGCTTTTAAAAAGGCTTTGCCAAATATATATATATATACTGTGTGTGTGTATATACACAGTATATCTATATTTGGCAAAGCCTTTTTAAAAGCTTGCTCAGACTTCCTCCTCGGCCTCAGGTTTAGCTGAAAGGTTTTTAACAGCATCAGCCATGGGGCGGAAAAGGCAGGAGGAAAGCAGGTGTTTAGTTTCAGATTGAATGTCCACTAATGTCTGTGTGTGCTGTTAAGGCAAGCGTATCATGGGGTTTCCTTGGCAAGATTTGTTCAGAGGAGGTATACCATTGCTTTCCCCTGAGGCTGAGAGCATGTGACTTGCTCAAGATCTCCCAGTGAGTTTCATGGTGAAGCGGAGTATCGAACCCTGGTCTCCAGAGTTGTAGTCCAACATTTGAACCACTATGCCAGGCTGGCTCAGCACCATCAGATTTCCTCCTTGTCCTCTGGTCTAGCTGAAAGGTTTTTACCAGCATCTGTATTGGGAGCATGGGGAAAGAGGGCTGGGGAAGAAATAAACAGGTGTTCAGGTTCAGGTTGCATGTCTGCAGTAAGCAATGGAGTAAAAGGTTGAGTTGGAAAAGAATAGGATTCACTCTGCTGTGAGTTTCTGACTATGTATAACATGTTGATCTGCAGATTCCTTTAATGAGGAACAGAAAAACAGGGAAAAGGAGCAGCACATAACTCAGACTCACTAGCATGTTTAAGGTTGAAAACACACTGCAGAAGTAATCCAGTTTGAGACCGCCTTAATTGCTCTGTCTCAATGCTAGGGAATTCTGGGAACTATAGTTTTGTGAGACATTTAGCCTTCTCTGTCAGAGAGCTCTGGGGCCACAATAAACCACAATTCCCAGGATTCCCTAGCACTGAGCCAGGGCAGTTAAAGCAGTCTAAAACTGGATTATTTCTGAGTCGTGTTTTGGAGCTAAATAACAGAGATCTGTAAATCTGTCCAGAAAAAATGGAAATCATAGGCAAAGTTAAAGGGAAAAAAAAGACTGCTAGTTCTTTTCATTGGATAACCTTAGAAATGGAAAATCATAGGAAAAAATAAAGAAAAAACTGACTGCTAGTTCCTTTCAGTGGAGAACCTTGAGTTTTAGTATTGAGAAAGAGAGGGAAACAAAGGTAGAGAATAGAATAGGGAGTCACCTTCTGTTCCCTGTTGCAGCCTCCTATGTCTCCCAGGAAGCAATTTTTGCTTAGGGTCTAGAATAGCTCCATTGAATCAGTGGGAACTTGGTCGTCACACACTTATATAAGTTATATTCCTGTGCATAGGTATTTTTCTAACAATAAAGCCTACCTCTGAGTTCTTAAAGAGAAAAGAGGGGAACTTCTAAGTACTATTGTAGAATCAAACAATTATTTACTGATTCATTCAGTGTATAATATAGCTTCCCCTTCTTCCATCACAAAATCTCAGTGCACCTCTTGGTTCATTAGTTCTGGGAGTTTATGGGAATTTCATTGATTCAGTGAACCTCCTCACTGAAATTGACAAATGCACTTGGGTCTCAGAGTCAGCATGGCAGGGGGGGAATTTGAGCAACTCTTATGAATGAGAGTGCTTTGTGCTAACACAAGTATCTTTGGAAACAAGCTTGTTTAATTCAATGCAGAAATTAATTCTCATTCTGTAAGCAATGGGGGGCTTCTGTTTCTTCTGATTCTTGTGTTGCTCAAATCCATACAGCTGAGAAAATATTGATAAATATACAGACATAGGCATATATGTGTGGTAATCAAGGTTTAAAAATTATTGATTGCTCTAAAAAAGAATGGTAACACTCAAAATGCCCTAGATATTAGTCCTGGGTTGGATCCATGCTCAGTCTTTTTAATTTTCTATAGTGACACAGTCATTTCTGAGGAAGAAAATTGTTATTAGTGACACACCTTTTAAATGTCCTTTCAGATAAATTTAGAACTTAGATCTGGTTTATATTGCTTATTTTGGCCTACACCATTTGAGCAAGTCAGCTACTATATTCTGGAACTAATGGACTAAGAGATGTCCTGAGATTTTGTGATGGAAGAAGGGAATCAGTAAATAATAGTTTAATTCTACAATAGTACTTAGAAGTTCTCCTCTTTTCTCTTTAACAACTCAGAGGTAGGCTTCATTATTAAAATAATACCTATGCATATGAATATAACTTATATAATAAGTGTGTGATATATCTTGAATTTCTTTAAAGGGGAAACTCCCCACTCCAGCCATTTATTTGATATACTACCCACACTGTTGTCTAAACCCTTATTTTAGGATTTCAGTTTTTGTACTCAAATCTGCCTAATTTGCCTAAAAGCCTGAAACTCTATTATCTCATTTGGGGCATTGCCACACTACAGAATTAATACAGTTTGTCATCGCTTTAACTTTCATGGCTCCATCCATTAAATTGCTCCATGTTTTTAGAAATGTTTTTCACAAGAATGGCAAGAACCATCCAGATCTTTTATTACTGAATAGAGGAAATACAGAATGATTGCTGTCACCATCTGGGATTTGAAGAACAGCTAGTAGTTTCACACTGTCAAATGGGCTTTAGGCTTCTGTTTCTCATGTTTTTCACATTGCAAGTATGATTGAAGATAAGTAGTTTATCAAATGTTTTGTGACAGGGTTTTCACCAGATGTAAGGGGAAATAAAAAGTCTCTTTGGGTATATCTTGCCTTTAGGGTGCTTCCAAGGTAGCTCTTAAAAATCCTAAGTACTTAATTCACTCAATACAGTATGGTAGTTGTAATGGCGTTGTTGGGAATTTAAGAGGTATATAACTGTTCTCCAGCTGTTCAGGAAAAACAATAAACCTGGAGTTGCTTTCAGAATTATAGAGTTATAATAGTTCATGTCTTTCATTCAGAAGCTTTGGTATATCCAGGTGTCTGTTAGCAACAGACATTTTGGAGTTGATAACATTGTGGCATAGTGGTTTGAGTGCTGGATTACAACTCTGGAGACCAGGGTTCAATTCCCTGCTCAGCCATGAAGCTCACTGGGTGACCTCAGAGGAAGGCAGTGGCAAACCTCCTTTGAATAAATCTTGCCAAGAAAACCCAATGATAGGTGGTTCACTTGAGGGTGGCTATAGGTTGGAAATACTTGAAGGCACATACCAACAACCACAACCATGAATTAGATTACTGATCTAATGAATACTGTATATTCAAAGTGGTGATGACTGACCCTTTCTCCCCTTTTAAATAGGAAAAACCTACATTTAACTTCTATTATATTTTTCCAAAACCAGGCCAGTTTTGGCATATCACTGATTTACACTTGGACCCCACTTACCACATCACAACTAATCGCACTGGGGTTTGTGCCTCTTCCAAAGGAGTGAACACCTCCAACCCGGGCTTATTTGGAGATTTTATGTGTGATTCTCCATATCAACTTATTTTATCAGCTTTGCAATACATAAAAGATTCTAGTCAACAGGCATCTTTCATGATATGGACGGGGTAAGTAAGTAAGACACCAGTGTTTTTGATATAAAACCACTTTAAAGTTTACAGCAAATATGTGTGGCTTATTCATCTCTTCTTTTTAAATGTAACATTTAATGATGAAATAAATATTCACTTTAGCTTTGTTCTCTAAAGCCCTGTGGTAAGAAGGCATCACTACACTCCCCCCCCCCAAGTCATTGCAGAAATTTTAGTTCTGTAGGTGATACAGAATTCACCAAAAGAGAATGATTTCTTCTTCACAAAATTACAAGTTATTGAGGTTCTTTTATGGAAATCTATTTAGCATGTGAGAGGCAGCATGGCATAGTGGTTTGAGTGTTGGACTATGATTCTGGAGACCAGGGTTCCAATCTCCATCCACTGAGCCATGAAACCTGCTGGGTGATCTTGGGCAAGTCAC